GTCCTGTGAGTATCAATTTTTACCAGCCTTCTTACCTCATTATGTGCCTTAGAAATTTCAACCGTCTCTTCCTGATGCTAAGCATCCTTTTTGTATCCATTTTCTAAAACTTCGTTGCTCATGGGTCCATGGTATTCTCAGCATCCTTCTGTCGAAGGACATTTCTGTAACTTCATGTCTCTTCATCTGTGAGATTTTCCAGCATTCGCTGCATATAGGAGGACCGATATTTCACGTATATAAGGCGACCTTTAGATAAGACGAAGTAAAAAAAAAAAAAAAAAAAATAGCAAATTTTCATGAATTTATCCTATACCTGTAGTATAAGACAACTACTTATTGATTATATAAAGGTGATGTTATTAGAAATGTTACTGTATTTTTAGAAATTCAAAATAAACGAAAGCGATTCTGTATCGTGTTTTCTTCCTTACATCTAAAAAGGAAATCATTGTTTTGTTTACGTTTCATCAAATGATCTCTTACGAATAGTGATTCTTTTTTTCTTATGTCTAAACAGTTACAAACAAAATAATAATGAATTTTTAATGAGAAATGAATATTATGTTATCCTAAGTGTTATTACTGCCGTAATTAACACTACCATGATGATTACTGAAAGTTTAGCAAAAGATAGATTGCTGTGAACGCAGTCATAACTCTGTTTACATTTTCTCCGCCGAGTTTGCATGGAGACAAATTGATTTCACTGACATGAAATTATTCTTCGAATAGGCAATTTATTATGAACTTATTCCAGTAATATGTAAGATAGAAATGGTTGTATCACTTTTATTATCAGTTTATTTGATAATGTGAATCTTTTCATGTACGTTATTGGTTATCGCATCGAGGCTGAAGTTAGTCTACGGACAAACATCATTCAGAATTTAAGGTTTCTTTTTTAGAACTGTAACATAAGACGATAATGGTGATATGGGGTATTTAAAGATCGTCTTATACGCGGAAATGTACGGTATTTATATATGTACATAATACCAAATTAAGAACGAAATTTACATATTAATTCGAAGCCGTCATTACAGTTTTTATTTCATTGATGTTTTCTGTCGTATGCATTGTTCATCGCGTTACATATTAAAGAAAAAAAGAGATAAGACCATAATATTAACAGTTTCCTTATAAGAAAACTTTCGGCATTTATTGACTAAGCAGTCAATGCTGCTTTCGGTTGAAATTTATAAAATCTTTTATAAAATCTTCCTCTGAAAACAATTTTTCAGGAAAATAGGTTTCCCAATTGAAGTAACTGTTATTGCTTTTTCCAGTATTGATGGCGATTTCCTTCCTAACTTTTTGTCTGGATTAGTGTGGGATGTTAACATTATGTCATTATTCTCTGTTCAAGTTGCATGTCATATCCATTGTAGTTGTTGCTGGTTTGCTGAAAGATCTAAAGTGATGGGGGTTTCTGCTTTTTGATACAATTCTTTGTTAGTGTTTCTCTAACACCAGTCCACAAGGTTTGAAGAAGGATGATCCTCGCTAAGACCTACAGTCTTCGTCGCTCAAAGCAATTTTTAAGCATCGATCAGAGAAAGCTGATGTATACAGCTGTAGCTGACAATTTAGATTATCTCTAAATGGGTTTGGTGTTCAGAGAAAAACAAAAACGAAGGAAACGTTGTAGAAACGATACAAATAACATAGGACGAAGTTAGTGAAATCAAAAAGAAGAAAAAAAACAACACTAAATATGTTTTAAGTGAAAAATAATGGTTAAATTTACTTGCAAATTGTGTGTGTATATATAATTCGAGGATACCCGTCTACTAGGGTGCATAGCCAATCCCAGGCTATTTGTCAATCAGGTACCTTTGTGTTTGTTCAACACCCACAGAGCCAACCTGTGGTTTATACTGCATCCTTAGTTACAGTTTCTGGGAGAGAGCGTGTTATCTAAAATGATCAACAATCGCACTCAGATCCTCGCTATCGATTTTCACTTTCACTCACAAGGCTTGGGTCAACCCGTGGTATGGTTTTTAGGCACTTTGCCGCACACTGGGATCCTCCCCACTGCAGACCGACAACATGAGGAAGTCTCCCTTCTGAACAATCGACCAAGGTGAGATTCGAACCCGGGTGAAAGCAACGTTCTAACCACTCGGCCACGCGCCTATATATATATATATATATATATATATATATATATATATATATATATATATATATGTGTGTGTGTGTGTGTGTACGAACGCGAGCAGTTCAATTTCTTGCTCAGACTTATACATAAATGCCTTCAGAATAGGCACAGGCCAGGTGTGCAAACTCTTAAACAATATATATCCCTGTTCTATACCACCAATGACAATTTTGTTCACATCTATGCTCTCTCTCTCTCACACACACACACAGTCTGACAAAATGATCATTTATATAACAATTCATATTCAATCGAGCAAAGGATCTGCAAGACTTCTAATGATTTCTTCTGAGATCTAGTTACCGGATGCTCAGAGTAGGTTCTTTAATTGATGAAATTAAGGCTACTCTAATAGATATCAGCATAAAAGTGGAACTGGCGAGGCGAGTTCTATTTCTTGCTCAGTCTTATGTTAGCTGTTGCATAAATGCCTTCAGAATAGGCATGCATCCGTTCCTTTTCCCCCACCGCTATGGATTAAATATCAGAGTAGATTGGGCTTTCTATCCTTGGGTAGCAACCAGTCTGAGAGAGATAGAGAAACTAAACTTTAAGCCGAAAAGAAGGCAACGGGAAACCACTCCTCTATCTTTCCCAAGAACGCATGGCAATTCAAATATCAAGAACAAAAATAATCTGTGGTGAGTCACGCTCGCCTACGTCCTGAAAGGACATGGCATTAAAAAATTGTTTTTCTAATACATCCAATGAATGCTTAATCGGCCTGAATATTTATGGGAGGTGTTGGACCGAAAGGGTTTGGTGACTTTGGCGACAACACAATGAAATCTTCAGGTTTCTGAAACTATTTTCGTTCAACCCGTGAGTGACAGGACACACTCTCCTGTTGATATATGCAACTCTCATCTTAGAAGACCTGCTATGAAGAGATATACTTTGTTTTTAATGATGTTTAGGTCGGTAAGATGTGAAAAAGTACTTTCTATATCAATGATAGAACTTAGTATATCGCAGCGAGTCATCAAACTGTTACCACCGGCTTGATTTTGCCCAGAGTTTATCTAATGTCATCGTTTCCTCCAGGATATCGACACACCAGTACCCAGCCGTCCAATTTATTTAGAAGAAAGCAACAGTGACTGGAAGAGGAGAGCTTCTAGTAATAAAGGGTAAAGTACTGGCGCTCGCGTCTACATAGAAAACACTTAGGTCGATGCATATTGGATAGTAAGGGGATTGATTGAACTGTGACTACACAATCCCTCACACAACAAAGATCGAAATAATGTGGGCTGTGAGGCATCTCCTTATTCACTCTGGTTAAAGCTGTGTGCAATTTGTGTCAATGTAGCAATAAAAGACAATAAGAAATGCCAAAGAATTGTAGAGAATAAGGCACATTAGACAAACATTATAAACAAACGCACTGAAGAAAAAGAATAATGACTCAATAACTATTTTAGAAGGAGCAAGCCTCATAATTATGGCAGATATGTATAAAAGAAATAAGACAAAGGACATGCTCCTCAACTATGTTCATAAACTCTGAAGAGGGAACGATCATAAGAAAAAGAAAAATATTACAATGGTAAATGTTAATATTAGTTGTTTCCTGATAAGGAAACATTCGGCATTCATTCATTGATCAGTCATGGCTACTTTCAGTTGAAACTTATGAAATCTTTTTCTTGAAACAATTTTGCATGAAAATAGGTTTCTCGAGTCCCGTAACTGTTATCGCTCTTTCCATTATTGATGGGGGATTCCTTCCTGACTTACCTTTTGTCCGAGGTAGTTTGGAACGTCAACATCTTGATTCTCTCCGAGTTATCCATTTTACTTGTTGCCGCTGTTGAAAGTCCTAAAGTGATGTCGTTTCTGTTATTTGGTACAGTTCTTTGTGATTCTGAAGCTCTAGTCCACAAGTTATTGCGCGAAGAAATTTTTAAGCATAGATCTGAGAAGGCGATTGCATGCAGCTGACAGTTTAGCTATTTCTGCACGAGATTGGCGCCATATATGGCCTCTATATTAACGTGTCGATTTGACGAAACTATTTAAGAACATGACTAGTTTTTACATTTTGGTTTCATAGTAGCTTGCGGTGTTGGTGGGGGGGGACTAGTCCTAGCACAACCTGTTCTATGTTCAATTGATAACTGATCTATACGTAGAGCTATTTGAAGTACATAGTATTTACTAATTCCGCATCCTAAATTTTTCACGGTACGTCTATGAAGGGGTGATTTTTTTAGACCAAGTTTTAGCTGGCACAGGCGTCCCGTTTTAGTGTAATGGCAATAACTGTTTCCTACAAATCAGAATTCAAATTAAGTAATTTTTCAATTTTTCTACATTACACAGGCGACAGTATTTTTCGGACCAATGCTAATAGTTTATGGCAGCACCCTTTTTTCAATGATATCAGTCTATTTTCTAATGTTCGTACATATTGATAATAACGTCTCTTCGTGAATTTTAGCATCTTGTATAATTCGGCCTCTCATTTCTGGCCGTCGTAAATAAGCTACAAATTTCCCATATGTTTTCAATTAAATTTAAGCTGGACTTCTTGCAGGCCATTCCAGAGTAGTTATATTTGCTTCACACATCCCATTTTCACCGATTTCATGGATGCTGCAGTTATCTTGCTGCAAAATAAAAACTTCCATTTTTTTTGTGGTAGGAATAGTAGCTCAAGCTTTTTGACGACCTTTAACCACTCGATTCAACTATACCCCAAACCATACTCCCCTCTTCCTCCCATCTGTCTTGTTAGAATAAAATACACCTCCCGTCAGGGTTTTCATCAGAATCGACAGTTATCCATCTTTTGGCGTTTCAGCCTTGCCTCCTTGTGTTTTCTCGTTAGTGTAATTCTTTTCTTGATTTTAGCAGGTCTTTAAGTCCAATTTCGTGTAGCTTTCTTTGTACAGTTCGAAATGACGTGAAGGTTCACTTCTCCTTTACTTTCTTCGCTGTCACCTTTTCTCCAGATGATAACAATAGCACTCCTCTTCATTCTTCTTTCTGTTCTCTTGGAAATTGTTTTTTTTTTCGTCCGCTCTTCTTCCGCTCATAGGATGTATTCAACTGTTGACTAGCTTCAAGCGGCGAAAAAGTTATTCTTTGATACTCAAATGGCACAAATTACCTGCAGAAAATCTCACGACGACTAAATCATTAAAAAAATTTCATGGAACGAAAAATGAACAAAATGAACGCTGACCTACTCATTGCTCTCCCATGAATATTAAACTTTTCAGTGTCCCAAAATAGTGTCGGCCCCCATATGGGTCATAGTTTTGTTTTGGAAAGTTTTTTTTGAGTTCGCTTGAAACTCTTAGTAGAGGATGATTTTTGTTCAAGATTATTTTTGTCCTAACTAGAATGCCTAAATCGGAAAGGATATTGGTATCGGAAATGGAACTGATTATAGATTAAAAGACCAAGGATTAGTCGACATCTGTTCTTGTGTATGCAGAGTATATTTGATATCGGCATGCCCCAACACTGGAATAGATGTCCGTCATAAAACTGAATGTAGGGAGAGTCAACTTTTAATCTTAGAGCTAAGTCTATAACGACGCCATTTACGCCATTGATCTACACTTCTTAACTCGACGCAAGTCGATTACTACTACCGTCATGGTTATAGTAACCAAAACCAATTTAGCTATTTCGTTCAAATATATCCCTCTGGGACATATCAATATTCTAGGAAAAGAAAATATTCGATCTAATTTCCTCATTGTCGTACTCATGATGAGGTTTGAAATGTTTCGCTTCCCTTGGCAGACATGTACGACTTTGAGGAACGATATTGTTCTATCAGATCTCGACATTCAGAGCTTGAATGAGATTTCAGAAAAAACGTCTCATTGAAATGTTTACAAAGCAGGTATTCGATTTTTTTTATAAAAATTGCCTGGAATTGTTTGTTAACATATATAATCTCATTACAAAAGAACAAAAGTCAAATTGGGTCGTGAGTAGTTGATTTTCATAGAACCATGAGTGTCTAGTTAATACAATGTTCATTAGCACCTTCGCCATAATGGATCCACTGGAGATACCTGTATATGTCTGAGTGTCTCGGGGTTACCTTTATGTTTCTATATATATACATTTGGGATGCATTTCTGATTCCATACTTTCATGAAATTTAGAAAGTTACTTTTATATTAAGAGAGAGGGTACGCTATTTTCAAAAATTCAGCCTTTAATGTCGGGTCATACGTTATTATTCTTTAGTATTTTTATATAGCTTTCTTTACTTCATCACCATTAGGTTCTTTATCATGTTTGTAGATAGACATTGTAATTCTCCCATGTATATTGGCGTATGTTCTATGTATATATTCAGTTAAATAAAGTCTAACTGGAATTTTTTTTTATAAATTTCTGTTTTGGTTTTGATTGTATGATGCTATTATGATTTTTCGCTTTTCTTCACATTTCAGCACAATGTCTATCCTGTTTATCTTCACTAATTTTTTTTAAATTTCCTTTGTTAGTTGTTTAATATTCCTCCCTCTTTCAAAATCGATCTTTTCAAAATTAGGATTGTCGTCCGATTTGAAGATCTTACAAGAATTAATTACCTCCTTAGGAGGATAAGATTACATTATTTTATTTCTCTGTATATGGTCAAGATATAGGGACATCAATTTGGAATCTAGTTTATATGGATATTATAAGATGAAACGATATTATAATATATATATATCAGATCAAATATATATATCACATCTGTCAAAAAATCTAAAATCCGGTACCTTTGAATATCTTTTGGACTCTATCTGGGTTATATATGATATGGCGTTTTACAAACACAAAGCTTAGAAATGAAATTTTAGTTGGAACACAGACTGATATGACAACCACGAGCAACTATGTCAGCTATCATTTTTGACTGGTGGAAGATTGAAACACTAAAGTCTTTTCACAGTCCAGTACCATTATAAGTGTAATGGCGAGAACAAGTCGACTCATCAGAGGTCGTCAGAGCATTTTTCATCGTTATAAAATTAAAAGCTCAGAAATAAGATGATTGGACTTTTTTTTCAGTTGATATTTTTAGTTGATAAAGCTAAAAGTCCTTTATCAAGCTTTACCTTGGACTGGTGTCATTGGAGGAAGGGTCCTTTGGTAAATATATATAAATATATTTCCATAGTATTCAAAGTGATTGGTTTTATGTCAGTTTCTTTCTCATAGATAGATGATTAATGAACTATCTACCTATCTGGTTTAATATAGTCCAGAAGATTAAACAAAGAGTGTCCATCTTAGCCATTATATATGGCCAGAAAGTGATTCCAACTGTCTCACGCCCTTCTGTTCCTATCTCAAACTATGCCCGCCCACCGATCAGTGGGATAACTTCTTTGTGGAGGAATAGAATATATCATAATTACATTAAAATATAGGGAGAATCAGTTATTCAGTCTTTTGGTTAGAGAAAGTATATGGCCAGAATAGAGGTCTTAGAAACACACAGAATAATAAGCAAAAAAAAAAAAAAATCTTGACACCATCACCGTATGGTCATGGAACAGGTTACAAAAAGGAATGAGCAATCTACAATGCACAAAACAGAAGGATCTGAAATATTAAAGTCTGTGGTAATGTCGGCATTGGGACGAGATGAACAAAGCAGCCAACGCGATTCTAATATGTAGTCAGCCTTTCGGCATCAGCAAGCTAACAGAAATAAACGAAATTTACGAGTAAAGAATTCATCTTAAAAAAATGATGAATACGAATCAGTTAATCAGCTTAATAAGAAGGATTCTGATGAATTTTTTGAACGCCTTGGATTTCCGAAAATGAATAGTCCCCTGGGATGTTTACACACCGCAATACAAAAATTATTACAAAAGATATTATATATATATATATGATACATATAGCATTTTAATTACAGAATGAAGAAGACAGCAGCGTCTTTCCGCATACACACCATCACAGAGTGGGGAGATAGGTTTTGCCAACTCGGAATTACGAGTAAAAAAGAAATACAGGATGACACTGGAACAAGAAATGTGATCTTTACGATCAGAATTATATCAGAGACAGAGAGCACTGTAAATGCAGAATGATGAATACCAATGTTTCAAAGATCTTTTTGAACGGCTGGGAAAAATCAAGTTCGGAAAGATATTAGAATGATCCAAGACATTAACTGAGAGGAAACAGTCCGCATACGAAGGGGGGGGGAGTGAATTCCGTAAATACTCAAAAATAGAAAGACAAGAATACGCCTTCTCACTGGATTTATTTAATTATTAGTTACACAATCGTAAGATACACTGACGACATAGGTGATATTACATAGCACAGTAAAAAAAAACAAAACAAAAAAAAAAAAACAAGAAAAAAAAACTGTAGGAACTCCTAGACAAAGCAGTAAAGGAAAGCTGGAAGAAAAGACTAATTGTCAGCGGTAAAATGAGATCGACCCTTAACAAGAGAACAGCCCAAGATGCGAACTAGGGATTGAAGATACCAAAATCAAGTGAGTACAGAAATTTAAAGTACACTTGAAAGTACAGAGGATGGAAAATGTGACATAGCAGTCCAGACGCACATTGGAATCGTGAAAGATGTCTTCCAAAACCCAAAGTATAAAGGGACAGGAAAATTACGTTAGAAACAAAGGAAAGAGGACGGAATTGTTACGTATTTATCAATCTTTCCATATGGCAGTGAATTGGTGGTTCTACAGAACGATACGAAAAACACTATCGACAGAGCATGAGAGCGGAGAGCAAGTTTTAAGGAAAATGAAAGCAAAATGGACACATTTAGAATCAGAACTACATTGAAATCAGTTGAAATTTCTTGGAAACAATGAAGACAAAGGACTTGGAGAATTTGACAATCACGTGACATACTGAAGACAATCATGATCGAAGCACGTTCTGAAGGGACACGGTACATAAGAAAACATCGATGTGTACTGGGAAAAGTATTACACACAAACACACATTTCAGTGTGATAAATGAGTTAGTGCATGTCAATGTAATTTATAGGTTTGGCAAATGTTTTCGCCTGATGCAATTTATTTTAAAATAAAATTGTTAGGTATAATAAGGATACGAAGGAACGATTCGAAAAACCCAATTCCTATTTGTCAGATTTGTTAACTTGTTTGGCACGAGAACCTTTCAGCACCCCCCCCCCCATATAATACGAACTGTGTCATATGTTTATTAGTGTGCATATGTAAGCCTATGTAGCAAATCATGAATAACAGCAACACGAATCAGCGTTGTTGAAAACTCTGCCAAAACAAACCACTTCAAAAAAATCTGTGTAAATTTATTTTTTGAAATCCGTTCTTGTTTGGCCTGGGGAATTTAACACTCGATTGTGATAATAGTTGTAGCATAATTTAGATTCTGTTATCCTGTGCCAGATTTCGTTATTTAGCAGAGAATGTTTACCTAAGTATTTGAAATCATCTATGGATGTTATTTTTCCTTTCGTTTGTTAAGACAAGGGTTTTCAAGCGTTGGTATTATTTATTAAATTTTTTAATTTTTTTCTATTAAATTTATATTAAATTGCTTTTTCGATAAAAGAATTTTCCAAATTGCACTGTCGTTCGGAAAATGTCAATGGAATATTGGCTGCTTCAATTACTTTTTCAGAAATGTAAAGTTCTGAAAAATGTTGATATTCAGAGCCAGAATATAAATATTATATATATATATATATATATATATATATATATATATATATATAATAATAATATAATATTATATATAATATATAATATATATAATATATATATATATATATATATATATAATATATATAATAAAAAATATATATATATATATATAATAATATAATATATAATAATAATAATATAATATATATATATAATAATAATATATATATATAATAATATATATATATATATATATAATAATAATATATATATATAATAATAATATATATATATATAATAATAATATATATATATAATAATAATATATATATATAATAATAATATTATATATATATATAATAATAATATATATATATATATATATATATATATATAATAA